AGCTTGCAAGGGGGCACGGTGGCGGATACAATTCCATCCAGGCTGGGGGAGCTCATGGCAGGAGTCATGCCCTGCGAGCTGCACGAGATCTCCGGCGGGCAGGAAGTATCACAGTCCCTGGGCTTCCCAGGAGACCTGGTGGGGGGCGCGGCAGCCGCCCTCATCGGCTACCCGCTGCTGCTCACAACGGACGGCCAGGGCTTCCCATGTCCGGGGGCCCTGCCGGCAGTGCTCGGGACGCTGGCGTTCATCGATGCCGGTACGTCCTCGCTGTCGTTTGCAAGCTGGCGCTTCAGTTTCCCCGCGCTGGTCCGCGCCGGGAAGCTGCCGTATGCCATGTTGCTTGTGGCGCTGGCCCCTGCTCGTGCTCGGGCCGCGCCTGCTCAGGAGTCCGTGGGGCCCACCGCCCTGTCGTCGTCCCGTTCGCCGCCATCTCGCGCGAAGTCCTAGAGGGGGCAGGCGCGAAGACGGCGCCCGAGGAGCAACATTCGGTGGGAAATGTTCGCCGCCTTGCTGCTTCTGATCCTTGGCTGCTCGTCACGGCTCCGGCTGCTCCATGCCGCAGGCCTCAGGACCTTCGAGAACATCGAGTCTGCCTCTTGGATGTGGGGTAGTGAGCCCCGCCAATGAGGCTATTCTGCTGCCGGCGTCTCCGTCGCAGTGTGAATTTGTCGACAACCATTGCGGCTGCTTCTACCTGGAGCCAACTTTCCACGTTCCACCTTGTGCGCAGACAGGCGACGGAGCGAGTTCTTTTGCTGCCTGCTATCGGTACGCGCCGCCGCCACTGAGTGGCCACTATGATGAACCAGGCTCGCCCTTCGCCGGACCCTGTACAGTACCAGGCAGCAGGTCTCCGAGTTGGCGCAGGGCTGACGAGTGCCTTCAACCAGACAGGGGCGCAGATAATGGCACGAAGGCTCTTTGGCTCGCGGGGGTGACTTTCGCTCATCTCATCTGGTGCCCGCCCTGGAGATGCTGTCCATCGGGCAATTACTCGCTTAGGTTGTTCCGTACGAGTGCTAGAAGCGTCATGCGGAGTGTGACTACGTGGGTACGATCATCAAGTCCGTATTCAAGTACGCAAGACCTGGAGACACCTTCGTTCTCGCTTGCCGCAGACGTTCACCACATAACGGCCTTGAGGGTTCCAGGGTTTTCGTAGAAAGCTTCGCAAAGGACCTTGCGCATGTCGGCGTTTCATGACTGCTGCTGGGTGACGCGACGTATCTCGGTTCCCCTGGCACTAGCTGTATACCCACGTGCTTTACATCAGGCGCTCGGGACGAGTACGAGAAACCGCTGGTGACGGCCAACATGAACAGCACATGCTCACAGATCTATCCAGGGGCTTGGCGGCACGGCTGCCGGTAGTTTACTTCTTCGGCTTCATGCCTTTGCTCTTTTCCGACAAGAGGTGCGACGTCTTAATCCCTGGGACGTGTACTGGGATGGATGCCATCTCACGCTCGCTGGCTCGAAGTACCTCTGGTCATGGTTCTGCTCTGTTCTCTGGAACATATCGTTGGACGGGGCACCATTCGAGCCTGTAGTTGTAGTGAACACGTGAGAAGAATGGTAATTGCGTAAGACGCCGCGTGCGGAAACACATGGCGCAGCATCTCCCAGACGTGGCTGTCCATGATCGAAGAGCTCGGTCGGGGGGGAGAGAGCTGTGCTTCCAGCTCCCCCGATTGACATTTCGCTGCTGGGCGCTGGGTCACCTGGCTGCCTGATCCTGGGCTGTGAATCGGCCTCTTGGGCCGTCTTGTGGCCATCTCGGAGACTTCTTGGGCCGTGTTGAGAAGACGGAAGCCCGAAAGCGTGAGAACGCGGAAAGTCTTCAAACGCCTTAGAGACATCAGTGCCTTTGGCGTGTTCGGACCTTGTTGGGGTCCTTTTGTAGCCCTTGTGGCCCCTCTGAGACGCATCTGGGGCCGCCTTGAGGCCATCTTGGGCCGCTCTGGGCAATCTTGGGCAATCTTCGACGCATCTTGGGCCATCGTGTTGGCCTTGGTTGTCTGCCTGGGCCGTCTTGGGAGCTCAGGACGTTGGTCCATCTTTGTCTTAGGAAGCATCGTGGCCTCTCGGGCAAGGGCCCGTTTTTTTGTTGAGGGATCGTGACCTCGGGGAGGGGGGGGGGCGGTGCATGTTGGCCATGAGAAGATTCCAGAAACCTTGCTAGGCAGCACTCGGCATTCCACGCCTCCACGTGCCAGGGGGCACGGTGGCGGATCAAGTGGTCTGCGCGAAGCTCCGCAGAGCTGCGCGGAGGTCGCCCCCAAAACCTAGCCTGCTCTGGAATTGCAGTCCAGTCTTCTGCATGGGCAAATCCACGCGGCGTGGCCGAATGCCGATACCTCCGGGGAGTGCCAGCAGAATGCCCGAGCAGGGGCCGCCTGCCTGGTCTCCGCGCTCGCTGCCGAACTACGTGGCGCTCTTCTCGGGATGCGACCGCCAAGGGTCTCGGGATATCGGCGAAGACAAATTGCCTAACGACGAAATCTCGGGGTATCGGCGAAATACGTGGCGCTTTTCTCGGGATATCGGCGAAATACGTGGCGCTTTTCTCGGGATATCGGCGAAGACAAATCTCGGGATATCGGCGAAATACGTGGCGCTTTTCTCGGGATATCGGCGAAGACAAATTGCCTAACGACGAGAAGGCACACATAGCGCTGTGCATGCACAGCTTTTCATGGGAGACCCAACAAAAGAGAAGGTTCATGGAAGACACGACGGTTATTTTATTTCTTTACCAATTAAAAGATCAGAGGCTACATCTTGGAAATGAAATACAAAGAAGCCTATCACGTCGACGCAGAATCAAATTGCCTAACGACGAGAAGATCAAAGGACAAGCTAGCGCTGTGCATGCATAGCTTTTCATCCGATTCGCTGAGTCCTGCTTGGTGATTCGTTGGCTCCTCCTTGACCCAGTTGCCCCTTGAATCTGGAAGGACCCTACGACGCCTACCACCGCCCCCTTCCCTTTCGGAGAGACCCTTGCAGCTGCAGGTCATCCTTCAGGAGGGCCTCTCGGCCGTCCTGGGCGGACATCGTTGGAGCCACCTTGGGGTCATTTTGGTGCCGTCTAGGGCCGCCCTGGGGGGCTGGTCTGCGAACGGCGCCTTGGTGTCCACGGGGAGTGCCGCTGGCAGAGCCGAACTACGGCTCTTGTGCTGCGCAGGCGATCCGCCAGCACAGGCCGGCGCAGGCCTCTCACCAGGCAGGACGACCAATTGTCCACACGGAGAGGCCGAAGCAGTGCTCAGAAAGGTCCCTGCTGGCTGTTGGGTCGGTTTGGTGCCTCTCGGGGGCCTCTGGGGGCCTCTTGGGAGCCCCTCGGCGGCCTCTTGGGGCTGCCTTGGGGGCTTCTTGGGGATGGATAGGGAGGGATAGGAGGGGGAGGAGGAGGACGAGGAGGAGGGGGAGGAGGAGGAGGGGGAGGTATGAGGCGGAGGAGGAGGAGGAAGAGGGGGAGGAGGAGGAGGAGGAGGAGGAGGAGGAGGAGGAGGAGGAGGAGGAGGAGGAGGAGGAGGTCGTGGGGGCTGCCGGGCGGGGGTCGGCCCCCGCCGCCCCCTCGAGTTCCCCCCCAGCGAGGGCCCCTCCGCGGGCCCTCACTGGGGGGGTCTCTCGGGCAGTCTTTTGGGGGTGCTTTTTGGGGCCCCGGGCCTCTATTGGTCCTCTCTCCTCTCGGGGGTTCTCTTGGGCCCCGACGCCCCCTCGAGTTCCCCCCCAGTGAGGGCCCCTCCACGGGCCCTCCTGGGGGGTCTCTCGGGCAGTCTTTTGGGGTCCTTTTTGGGGCCCCGGGCCTCTATTGGTCCTCTCTCCTCTCGGGGGTTCTCTTGGGGCGACCTTTGGGGGCCTCTCGGGTGGTCTTGGACACCTTGAAGATCGACAAGGCGAGCGTGCCAAACGGGTAGAAAACGCACACGCGAGCCCCCCGCCGCGCACCGTCGATCCTGCCGTGCAAAGGGATCTCGCCGTGCGGGAAGATCGCTCTCACGCTTCGCCGGGTGTCACGTTCTTTACGGTGCTCCCCTCTGGCGCTCGACGCGCGCATGACCCTCCTCCTCTTCCTTTCCGCCGCCGTAGAAAAAACTAACTTCGGCCTCCAAGGGTCTTGCGTCCTTACCACCCGTCCTCAATACACGTTTTGGCTGTAGTCGCACCAGCCGGACCGATTCTAGGGCCTCGGTTCGCTGCAGTGACGCGGTGTGTGTGTGTGTGTGTGCACATGCCGTGCAGCCGTTCGCTCCAGGCCTGGGGCGTCCACCGCCTCGAGGGAGGTATGTTGAGAGGAGGAGGGGGAGGAGCAGGAGGAGGAGGAGGAGCAGGAGGAGGAGGAGAAGGAGGAGGAGGAGGAGGAGGAGGAGGAGCAGGAGGACCAGGAGCAGGAGGAGCAGGAGCTGGAGCAGGAGCAGGAGCTGGGGCAGGAGGAGCAGGAGGAGGACCAGTGTGAACCCAAGATGCATCAATGATGTTGGGATACACCCTGAGTGCAAGCTCCCTCTGTCCATAGGCACCGCTGAGGGAGTTGCCCTGTTGGGAGACAGCCGTGTGAACATCCTGAAACGTGCCAAAACACCATTCTCGGGACTTCAAGCGCCACGAGTCATGTCGACTGTTGCGTCCTGCTGAATCGTACCAGAACGCGGACGCGACGCATTTGAAGGCCCTCGAGGTAGGGAATGACCCCGTTACGGGGGAGTGGAAGGGGTCCCCTCGTCTGCTCCATCCTTCTGACGACGCCACATATTGGCTCTGACTCCTGTAATTAATTCGCCTCGCTTTTTTCCCCTCGCGTTTTACCACCTTCTCTTTTTGCCTCGTCGAGTCGCGCGTGCTCGCCCTTCCTCGCCCGCCCTGGCCTTTCTTTCCCCCCGTCTCGGCGCACTAGAACTCGAGTTGGTGGTGCCTCCGCCTCCTCCTCCTCCTCCTCCTCCTCCTCCTCCTCCTCCTCCTCCTCCCCGCGGCGCCCACATCCTGCTCGAGCGCACGGGCTGTGCGGGCGGGGGGGGGGGGACAGGGGGCCGTGGGCAGCTCCCGGGCCGCGCCGCTGCTCGCCGGAGCGCCGAGGTCGCGCGCTGCCGCGCCCTCTCGCCGGGCTCGTGCCGCTTCCCCCGATTCGATCCGCCTTCGATTCCTCGACGGCCTCCGATTCCGAGTCGACTCGACCTCGGGCTCCGAGTCGGGCTCCGGTGTCCCAACGGAGCCCCGTCGCTCTGCCCGTCTCCGCGGACCAGGCTCCGCCCGACCTGGCTGTCGATCTCCGCCGATCCGACTCGTGTCGATCGCAGGTTCGACGCGTCGCTTCGATCTTGTCGGGCGACGAAATCTATACATATCCACTGCTCCCTGGCGAGGCCCATCCTGAACCCAGGAGTTGTGCATACGCCCTCCTGGCCACGCCAGGAGCGCGCAGCGAATACACAGCTGCTGGGTTCAGGATGGGCCTCGCCAGGGAGCAGTGGATATGTATAGATGTCGTCGCCCTATCTTGGGCCCTCCCGCCCAGGGGGCCCCGCGGCATGGGGGAGGCAGACGACGAGGAGGTGCAGGCCGTGGAGAGGCCCGTGGAGGTCAGCCGATCGAAGCGGCACGCACCCAAGATTGTCGGGCGCCCTCGTCGGTCCTCGGAAGGCTTCTCGCCTCGGGACGCTTTTTCCAGCGGCTGCGCCTCGCCGAGGGCGTTCCAGGCACGACCCGAGAACCCGACCCTCCCGCGATGGGGTGGCCCCTCGTCGGAGTGACTCCTGGTGAGGGCGCACAGGGAGGGGGGTCCGCCCCCCCAGGGTCGATGCGCTTCGGAGTCGCGGCCAGCCCGATCCGAGTCGATGCTGATGTGCCGGCGACGGCGTGTCGCGGCCCGACCTGCGCATGGCGTCGTTGTGCACGCGCAGCCGATCCGGTTCGACGTCGACTCCGTGCCAATGCAGCCCGATCCAGCGCACACTCCGATTCGGTGCGGCTTCCCAATCCGATGCTGGCTGATCCTGTCGAAACGTTATCCTTCCCCCAGTGCTCTGGCGGTCCCGGGGCCGCACTGGGCAAGAGCCAGCGCCGCTCCGTTGTGGCCGTGGGGATCTTAGGAGGATCAACGTAGGAAAGTGCGCCAGTGGATCTCCCTGAATACACTAAAGGGGGGGGGGGGGGACACCCTTTCAAAGTAGGCACAGATACAAAGAGACGTCGATTCTCAAGGAAAATATAGGAAAATATGGAGGGTGGAGGGGGAAGACGAGAGTCCAGAAGCTGTGGAAACGTATGGGGAATCCAGGGGTTTGTGCCTATCTGTTTGTGTGTTCCCAGAGCCCCTTGAGGGTCCTGGGCTCGTCGCCACCTGCTTCGAGCTCGTGCTGAGGGCGTCCCGGGGTTGGGGGCGAGCCTCCGGTTCCTCTCGGGGGCGGAAAAGAGGGGGGTGATGACTAGGGGGGGTGGATATCATGGCGGGGGCCATGATATTTCCCCAGATTTCATGGCGCCTCTTCTTATTTCATTCCGTCCCTGGCCCCCCCGCTGGGCCGCGCACATGCCGCCGGTCATGATGTGCACCCCCCCTCTTGGACACCCCCCTCTTGGCCGCTCCCGATCCTCGTCTGAACGCAGATCGCTGAGCGCGCTCCACCACTCGCAGACGTCTGACAACAAAAAACGCATGCTTGCTCTTAAGTCGGGCGTGTCCCTTTGCGGGGGAATATCCAAAAATAGTTTAAGTACTAGTCTGGGGACGATTTCTTGACTATTTTTGAATATCTGGGGGGTATACTTTGAGTTGTTTTTATTTTTCGCCCAAAATCCCCCTGTAGGGAGACACGCCCGACTTAAGTTTGCTTCGATGCGACGGATCGCAGATTCCCTGGGGCGGGTCCAGACCATTTATTCGCACGCAGTAACTCTGCGAGCAGTGGAACGCGCTCGTCCAGTAGAAGTGACCCTGCGCCAGAGTGACCTTTGGTGCGGGCGCTTCGCGGGGCGCGGAGGTGGGTTCGGTAGCCAATCATAAAAAGCCTTGTGTACCCTCGTACTTGTGTTTTTGGCGCCGACTAGCGTCGATTAGCGTCTGGAGTCGGTGAGATGGCGCCGATTGAGCGTCGGCTAGCGTCGATTAGCCTCGATTTCGCGTCGATTAGCGTCGATTCTGCTTCGATTCGCAAGAGCCGACAAGATGGTATGGTATGGGAGGGTCCCACGAGTTGCCACCGATGGTGGGCCCAGCCCGAGCAGGCAGGCCGCCGCTGGCGCACGGGCACGCACCGATCGGCCGGCCGCGCGCCGATCGGCCGCGCTTGCCTGGGGCCCCTGTTGGTGTGCACCTCGCCGAGTCCCGGCCCGACCGGCCGGAGGTGCCAGCCGATGAGGATGGCGAGAAGGCGGAGGAGAAGCCGGCGAAGAAGCGGCGGAGCCGGTGGGGGCAGGAGCCCGAGCCGGCGCCGATGCCCGACGTCCTCGCGCTGGCGCCGCTGCCCTCGGGGGTCAACCCCGTCACCGGCATGGTGGGCGTCACGCAGCTGCCTGCGCCGGGGGAGAGCTCGGCCTCGGCGCCGGGGTACGCCCCGGCAGGCGGCGCCAGCATGGACCTCTCGGCCGCCGCGCAGGCCGCGCGCGAGGCGCTGGAGAAGGCGAAGAGGGCAGCCATGTTCCAGCGGCAGATCCAGGTGATGGGCCCGATGTCCACCCCACCACCAGAAGTTGGAGGGGGCAGGGAGGTGGAGGAGGAGGAGGAGGAGGAGGAGGAGGAGGAGGAGGAGGAGGAGGAGGAGGAGGAGCCCCTCCCCCTCCAACTTCTGGTGGCGGTGGTGGAAAACAGACCCATCACCAGGAGCAGATGAACAAGCTGAAGAGCCAGGGCCTGGCTGCGGGTTTCCTGCCCGGGGAGGGCCCCAAGGCTCGGAAGCTGATCCTGGACGAGTTCGGCCGCGAGCTGGACGACGACGGCAACGTGGTGCCGATGAAGCCGCAGGTGGTCAGCACGCTGAAGGTGAACATCAATCGCGAGAAGGAGGCGCGCCTCCAGAAGATCCTGGGGCTCAAGAAGGAGGGCGGGAGCGAGAAGGACTTCTTCGATCCGACGCTGAAGGTGCAGCAGCGCTTTGAGCGGCAAAAGCGGAAGACCTTCAGGTTCATTGATGAAGGTGCGCTCGTCCAGAAGGAGCAGCGCCTTGTGAAGAAGATGCAGGAGAAGGTATTAGGCGTGGACAAGAAGGAGGACAAGAAGAAGAAGGAAGAGAAAAAAGAGGAGAAGAAGAAAGAGGAGGCTGAGCCTGAGCCTGTCATAAAGAAGATCGAGCCAAAGGTCATGAGGCGCGAGCCTATCCCAGACGTGGAGTGGTGGGATATGCCTTTCTTGAAGGAGGACATGAACGGCCAGAAGAGAGCGTACACTGAGGTGAATGTCGAGAAGATTACGCCTTACGTGGAGCATCCGATTCCCATCAAGATCACCACCGAGAAAGAGGCGCCAGAGGCTGTGATGATGCACCTGACGCCCAAGGAACGCAAGAAGCTGCGGCGGCTGAAACGGCAAGAGCGCACACAGGAGATCCGCGATAAGATCAAGATGGGCATCTTGCAGCCGCCGCCTCCAAAGGTCAAGATGAGTAACTTGATGCGAGTCCTCGGCGACGAGGCCATTGCGGACCCGTCCACCATCGAGAGGAAGGTCCGACAGCAGGTCGAGCAGCGTCGCAGGGAACACGAGCAGCGCAACGAGGCCCGGAAGCTGCCGGCCGAGGAGCGGAAGGCGAAGAAAAAACAGAAGTGGATGGCCGAGACGGAGCCGACTACGCAGGTGCTGGTGTTCAAGATCAAGGATCTCGCGAACAAGAGGCACCTGTTCAAGATAGACATGAACGCTCAGCAGTTCCACCTCACTGGCTGCTGCGTCGCGTGCCCAGGCGTGGCCAACATTGTAATTGCCGAGGGCGGACCTAGGGCCATCAAGCGTTACAAAAAGCTAATGGTCAGGCGCATCAAGTGGACAGAGGATCAAAAGGATGACGACGATGACGAGGACGAGGATGACGAGGAGGTCACCGCGCCCAAGCTGCAGGACCACTGTGTGTTGATCTGGGAAGGCGTGGTGAAGCAGCGAAACTTTAAAAATTGGAAGGTCAGCCACACGAGGTCGGAGCAGGAGGCCAGGAAGACCTTGGCTGACAGGGGCGCGGAACACTACTGGGAGATGCTCGCGCGCCACCGCGACCCGCGCATGGACATCTGAGGCGTGCGGCACAAGCCTGGTTCGAGTGCGGCGTACACTGGGAGGGTGCAGAACAGCAGGATGGGGTGGCGAAGATGTTGGAGGATGATGAGGAGGGGGCAGAGAGCAGAAAGGAGGACTATGATGAGGATAATGATGATCATGCTAATAACGATGATGACGTTTATGATGGTGACGACGACGAGGACGACGACGACGATGACGATTATGCTAATGAGGTTGATGACGATGATGATGATGGTTCTGCTGATGATGATGATGCTGATGATGATGATGAGGATGAGGAGGATGCTGCTGATCATGATCATGATGCTGATGATGTTGATGATGCTGATGATGCTGATGAGGATAATGATACAGATGATGATGATGATGATGATGATGAGGAGGAGGAATACGATGCCGACGATGAAGACGATGCGGAAGAGGATGACGATGATTGTGGTCGTATTGAATGATGATGGCGATGATGGCGATGGCGATGGCGGTGATGTTTTTGATGATGGCAAAGATGATGACGATCATGACGATGACGATGCTGCTGCTGGTGATGATGAGGATGGCGACGACGATATTGTTGCTGATAATCATGGTAATGGTGAGGCGGTCGGAAGGAAGGATGATGACGAGTACGAGGAGGTGTTGGAGGAGGAGGAGGAATGAGGAGGATATGGATGAAGAGGGATGAAGATGACGACGATGGTGATGATGATGACGATGATGATGCTGATGATGCTGAAGATGATGATGATGAGGACGCTGATAATATTGATGATGCTGCTGCTGAAGATGATGCTGATTCTGATGATGATGATGAGGACGCTGCTGATGATAACGATGCTGATGATGCTGAGGCTACTGATGCTAATGATGATGATGGTGCTGCTGATACTGATGATGATGAGGACGATGATGATGATGATGCTGTTGCTACTGATGATTATGATGCTGATGATGGTGCTGATGCTGATGATGATGATGCTGATGGTGATTATGGTGATGCTGCTGATGATGATGACCATGATGATGAGGTTGAGGACGTTGATGACAACGATGGTAGTGACGATGATGATGATGACGACGGTGATGGTGGTGATGATGGGGATGTTGATGTTGGTGGTGATGATGGCGATGATGATGCTGATGCTGCTGATGATGATGATGCTGCTCATGATGATGATGGTTATGCTGATGACGAGGAAGATGAAGAGGAGGCGTAGAAGTTTGAGCAGGATGAGAAGGATGAGGAGGACGAGGAGAGAGGATTCTGATGATAATGCGGAGGGGGTGTGCTGATACTGATTTTGATGATGATGCCGATGAAGATGATGCTGCTGCTGATGATGTTGATTATGATGATCATGCAGATGCTGCTGATGATGAGGATGCTGATGATGCTGCTGATTGTGGTGATGCTGATGATGATGATGATGCTGATGCTTTTGATGATGATGATGATGATGGCCATGATGCTGCTGACGCTGATGATGATAATGCTGATGATGATGATTCTGGTGATATGGACGATGATGATGACGACGCTGCTGATGATTATGATGATGCTGATGATGCTGCTGATGATGATGATGCGGACGACAATTGTGATGATGTTGCTGATGATGCTGATGATGGTGATGATGGTGCTGCTGTCGATTATGCTGGTACGGGTGATATGATGATGCTGATGATGATGTGTAGGATGCTGGCGACCTTGATGACACTGATGGTGGTGACGATGCTGATGCGGATGATGATGATGATGACGATGCTGATGATGCTGATGTTGATGATGATGCTGCTGACGATGATGATGCTGCTGAAGATGCATCTGTTAATAATGATGCTGATGCTGATGATGTTGATACTGATGATGCTGATGATGCTGATGCTGCTGCTGATGATGCTGTGGATGATGATGATGCTGATGCGGATGCTAATGCTGATGAGGTTGATGATGATGAGGCTGATGATGATGATGATGATGATGGTGCTGATGATGATGCTATTGACGAAGATGATGATGGTGATGATGGTCATGATTATGACGATGCTGATGCTGATGATGATGGTGATGCTGATACTGATTATGATGTTGGTGCCGATGACGATGCGGATGCTGATGATGACGATGATGATGATGATGATGATGATGATGCTGATGATGATGATGATGATGATACTGATGCTGCTGCTGATGATGATGTTGTTGTTGTTGATGATGATGATGACGACGATGCTGATGCTGATGCTGATGCTGATGATGATGATGATGATGATGATGATGATGATGATGATGATGATGATGATGATGATGATGGTGGTGGTGGTG